GCCGGAGCTCTGCTGGCATTGGCAGGTTCTTGCACACATCTATCAAGCTGCCACCAAATGCGAGACAGCGCAGTAGAAGATTATTCCCTTCACGTTTTTATTTGAGCAAAAAGTACTTCCTTTTGAAAGAGGAGAAGTCCAGGACCTGGCCGTTGTTTGTTAGACAGAGACTTTAAGCAGAACTCGGCTTAAAAGTTTGAGAACCACTGATACTTAGTCATAAACACTTTGATCATGATTATTAGTATCCTTAAAAGAACTAAAAAAAACTTCAAAGTAAATGTGAATATGTTGAATGTCGGCTACATTTTGATTTTTGCTTCAAACATAGTTTTGAAGCTCTCAGCTGAGTGCATACATTTTTCTTGCTACATGGCTGCAAAAAATATATGATAATCAGTTAAAGTCACATGATCAAAAGTTTCACAGAACCATATTCACCAGTTATTAGTCACTCATGTGCGCCTCTCTCGTTGCACTCATGATTAAACGTTGCTCCGACAGTTCAAAATACCTTGAATCTATGACTTTTGGCAACATTACACAAAGATTGTATGCTCAGTCAATTCTAAGTGACATTGGTAATGATGCAAAGTAAAATGAGAGCACACACATTCTCTCTGGTATCCATTAGGATGTGCTGCAGCACCCTCCAGGTCCCCACTTCACAACCTTTGCTGTTTATTAACACTTGGTAGTTTCAACTTCTGTTGCAAAAATCCATTTTAGAATTGGTTTATTTTTGTAATGATCAGAAAAACAAATCTAAAACTAGGGTTTTAAATTCCACTGCAGGTGTTTGCACGTGATGTCTTGACAGCTGGTGTTATATCTTATTACCTTGTCTACGCACTTTAAAGTTATTTTTACACAAGAAATGAAAAAGAGCTGTGAAACATGTTCAAACATGCCTGTGTGTGTGTTCACCAGTCTGTAAAAAAACCCCAGTGTATTTTCATCACATCTCCTACAACTTAATTACCATTTTTCTCTTTTTTTGATTATAATACAAATGGGTATTTATAGCAGTGGTTAGATTAAAAGGTAAATGTTGAATTCCACCTCTGCTGATGTGATCTAGATATAAATCTGCCCATGAGAAAGACAGAAACTCTGCCAAGCACAGAGTAACAGACTGATGAAGACACTTTGTTTGCTGGTTCAGCTTGTACCAGCAAAAGATGATAAGCATTAATGCTGCTTTCTTTCAGTTATGACCATTTGATTGCTTGCAGAACGGTGTCCTTCTTTTCATTTCTTTGGGACATTTTTCATAAACAGGTAAACAGGCTAATTAGTACGATGATTATCGATGTTACCATCTTAAGATCTTGCACAAGAAAATGAAGGAAAGGAGTACCCGCACCTGCTCCATGTCCCTTCTTTATGGGACCCCTGGGTCAGTTGTGGCATGATGTCTCAACTTGTCCCTAGCCCACATGAGATCTAAAATTATACTTGGATTGATTGGACAGGATGTCAATAGCCATCGAAGCAACTTAATCCTTGTTGTTGTATTGGATTTGGCATTACAATGCGGCTGCCCTGGTTTACAATGCAAAGCAAAGCTTGTTGCAGGAGGAGGCGATGATTGCGACCAATGTTCTGTTGATGCTCTATTCAGAAGCAAATCAGAAAGCATAATACATTTGATTTAAAGTTAGATTAAAGTTCATATAGAAAAATCAATTTCCCATCATAAGGTCATGCAAGTAAAGTGGCTGTTGTATTCCCTTCCCTGGATGCATACAGTAGATGAGAATTGTTGCTGAGGGAGTCACTCCATCACCTCAGTGGTTGCTTCCAAGGTTCCAGCCCATGAATGGTAAACACCGTTGGGGGGAGCCACTCACGGCCAAGCGGAGCTCAGGTTGTGACGGACAGAGAGCACAAGGGTACAGCTGCCACTGCTCACCATGACCATGACAGAATGTTGAGGAAAGAGCACCAGCTCCACAGTTGACTGACAGCAGGTTAATTGACAGAACCCTTCCCCAGTGCTGCTAACAAAACATATTTCCCCCACAGAGACAACTCACTTTATCATTTATGATGAAGATATTCCCTCTGATCTGTGACAAACAGATGCGCACGAAGACCCACTGGGACAGATAACATATTAATTCTTGTTTTGTATTAAAAAGTTTGTATTCTCCTGAGTGTTACTGCTGCTGCAACTGATTGTTGATATTTAGCGGTTTCTCTCATTAAAAAGGAAACCTTTGTGACACTTTAATACCTTCAAAGTTCATTGTTACTGCAGAGAAAACTGAAACGTTATGAAGCATATTGAACTATTTTTATGCATTAAATCAGGTTAAAAAATACAACAGATGGATTGGTGTGATAAAACTATTACTGTATGTAAGTGCTGTGAATACCTAAACAACATAAAGAAAAAGAACAGACATGTTTGACATGAAATGCGATTACAATAAAGTTGCAACAGTATATTCTTATGTCAGTGTTTCCAAATTCTTTGTATGTTTCACTAAGTAGAAGTATATCATTTTCAGTTTGAAATTGCTTCCGTTGAGCTTTCTTTTTTATGGCGATACTTCAGTTTTCAAATAGTATTTTAATGGATGCCAGTTATTGTATAAATCAAACATACAATTGAAAACAGAAGTTGCAAATATATTATTTCATTTAGGAAGAAAAAACAGTTTGGATAATCATAACTCTGGCTTCAGACATTCAGACACAAAGGTTGTTTATCTTTTTAAAGCTTATTTAACCTTCTGGTTCAAATATATATCAATAAATCTTCGTCATATGAACATGATGCGGCATCACTTTATTCTTGGAGCAAATGAAATGCTGAATTGGTTAACACACGCAGAGGTGCCGAGCTATGGTTGGTTTTCTGTTAGAATTTACTTCGTCTTGAAAGACCACCGAATCTTTTTTGCCATTCTTTACCATGCTTAAACTCTCTTTTGATAAACTGGTGGTTTCTGTCTAGACATTATAGATTTATTGATTTTAGTTATGCAAAAAAGTATAAATCAGACCACACTGCTTCACTTTCAGTCTTTCTCACACACTTGAGAAACGTTCATAGAGCTGCTCATGAGAAATCTTTCCCCCCAAAAAACATCAAAATAACAATCTTATCCTTGAACAAGCACAGGCTTCTATGCACTTTGTATAGCATTGTATCTATTGGGAATTTTCAAGAAATCTATTGAGACATGTTTAGGACCACATAGTTAAAGCGTGTGAATATTATGCTTCCATTAAACAGTGTATGAAATGATAAAAATTGAGTAATTGTTAATTTTTTAATTTTTTTTAAAATGCATATCAGGACCCCTGCAGTTTGCTTAGTGCTGTAGAGTTTGAGTTTAATATAATATCATGAACCTGCTTCTTCAAATCCGCTGTTATCTATGTCGATATTATTAAAAGAATTCAGCCTCATTTGATTTGTCCCAAAACTCAATGAGTGTCAGTACCTGACAAACAGAGCACAGTTTCAGAATGAAGAGTCATGCGTTCTTTTACACTCTGCATGCTTCTGACTTCCAGTACAAAACAAACTCCCATCATTTTCAGAAACACAAGGATGATTGTGCAGTCTTAGGGTGTATCAGAGACGGTCCAAAAAATGAGTACAAAGAGATTGGGGATGCAGTAATGAAGCTTCTTCAAACTTTTTTAAAGAAGCTCCAATGTTTTGCAGCAAGATGTTGCATGACATGTATAAATCTGTTGTGGATAGCACAATCTCACCAGAACCAGTGACTCAAATGGCTAAACAACCTGATAAAGGAAGGCTATCGATGAGAAAGGTGAGCTCATATCTGTTGTATTAGAAATAGCAGTAGAGGGAGGGAGGAAGGTAGGATTCAAAGTTGGAAGGAGTGTTGGAAAGAAGTTTGCAGGTAAGTTTAAATGAGGTCAAGAAGAAGGGTTGGATGAAGCATTGGAAGAAGCGTTAGGAGAAGTGTTGGAAGGAGTGTTGGATTTAGGGTTGGGAAGAGTGTTGGAAAGAGGTTTGAAAGAAAGCTTAAAAATAGAATAGGAAAGAATATGGACTGGGAGGAAAGAGGTTTGGATGGAAGGTTTAATGAAGGATGGGAGGGAGGGACTGTGAAGAGGGTTAGAAGTAGTGTTACAATGGGAACCTTGAGAGCTACTGGGCCTGTTTTTTTCTAAAGACGTTGCATAATGTGAGCAAAACCTGAAGAAGGGTTTTATAAAATCTGTTAGATATAAAAAATCTGAAATACACAAACATAGTTGAATTGTAAGACTAAAGTTTGAATTATGTTTCTAGCTTAAAATATGTGGAAGCAATTACCTGTGAGCTGCTTAGAAAAGCAAAGCTTAAAGATTTTAGCAGTATTTTTCTGGTCTTATGGGATGTTCCATTCATTTTTATGGGGCCCAAGATGCTCACAAAAAGCTGAATATTTTATAAACCGCAAATTAATACCAAAATACTGTATGTAGTCAGAATGACCTTAATGATTAAAATAAGGTAAAACTGAATGGTTGAAATGGCAAAAATATGCAGAAGTAGGTAAGTGGAGAAAAATGTAGAGAAAAAAATAAGTGAAGGGACTTAATTCCATTTTTGGTTATTTTTCAAAAGGCCTGCAAGAAAAAATGGGTATAAACAAGAAAAAGATACACCTAGTGCTGCTCAAATATTGCTATTTTACATTAACACATTTTATTATAAGCTGTCAGGTGATTGTATTCTAATAATTTTGGTGAAAACATGAATTGATACCTCTCTACTAAATATTTCATTTCACAGTAAAATCTGTTAAACTATCAGAGTTTTACATATTACCTAGTATGTTTTTACTAAAAATAATTTTTTTCCTTTTACAAGGTTTTTACCAACCATTTTCTTCTAATTTTAATAACATACTATTACTAAATTATGAGATTTAGTTAAGTAAACAATTATTATTTTGTTGGTATCTTGACAGTAAGCTGGAGTAGGAGGTGCTACCAATGTTATCAAACTAAATGCACACAGAGGGTTAAAGTAAGCAACTTAAGTATTTATTAACAGGAGAATTAATTCACAGCAAATTCTTTTCACAACACAGTCTTTAAATGACACTTAACCCTTTGAGTAAAACTACATTGGGCACTCTGATCTGGCAATGACCAAACCTGTAGATTTCTTTATGGCGGTCTTCTATGAAAAACAGCACATCAATTGCTAGAAGAGTTGGAACTGCTTTCTTTAAAAATGAATAAATAAATAAAAAAAAGCAGTAACACGTTGTTGATTTCTTAATATCAAGTAAAACAAGCAAAGAGGTCTTTTTTTACATATGTATACAATTCAATTTTGTGGTTCAAGTGAACACATAAATATGTTGGGGGGGAGGAGACAAAGACTGATTCAAGGAAAAGTCCATGTCATCTTCCTAATAGCTGGAAAAGATGCCTGAAAAAACTGCATGTTCATGTTCATTATGTCAAAAGTATATTTCTGTTGAGTTTTAATGAAGTATTTGTATATACACATTCAGACAATTAAATCCTAAAACAGTGAAAAAGACAAACTAATGAATACGAAAAAGGGTTAAGGCAAGAATATAAAAATAAATAGTAAAAACAATAGAAATGTTGCTTCTCTCTTATTTAACTTACAACACTCAGATCCTAAGAAGCTGTGGTAGTGAGAATTATTCACATAATCATTTTTTTTACAGTCCCCGTCCATTTACACAGTATTTACAGCAAAACTGAACTTGTACACCAAAAGAAAAATCAATAAACTTAAACTGACACAATTTGTCTATGAACACAAAAATATTTTTTGTATTTTGTCAGTATGTAAAACATTTACACACAGACTTACAAATAGGTGTAGTACAGCAGTCATTTTATATCAAATCAGTCAACAGAGAAATCTTGAAATCTTATTCAGTTTTTGTACAAATTTCTGCTTTTAACTAATATAGACAGCGTTCACATTAACTGCATTACCTTGTGTGCGTGTTTGTGCTTTCTGCACAACAAACAGTTTCCTCTTTACATCGTGAATTGCGTTATGAAATAGTGGGAAGAGACACACATGCTGGTGATATCCAAAAAGGCATACTGGAAAACAAAACAAGCATGGCTTGAATAGTGGTTGAATTGCAGAACAACAGTTATTTTTCGGTAACTACAGACAATTAGCAGAAGCCAATGAAGTTGATTTGTGCAAGCAACTCTCAGTAAAATGCATCTTCATCTACAGTACCTTGTCAAACTATTCACACCTGTTAAACTTTTCCATATGTTTTCATACTACAATCACAAACTTCAAAGTTTGCCACTATTTTATGTGGTAGGTCAACACAAAGTAGCTCAACAGTAAATTCAAAATATGATCCAAATCCATGTAACAATTAAGATAATGCAAATTAACTTTTGTACAAATAAAAACTTGAAAAGTGAGAAATTCATCTGTAGTCAATGTTTGTATTTGAATCTCTGGTGGTCTGCAATTGATTAGACTGCAACCAGAACATTTACTCTCCACAAAGACATTGGAGAGTGGCTTTGAAGCACAGAAGTGAAGCAGGAAAGCATGGAGGTGTCAGAACTGTAGCAGTGAAATCACAGGACTGTACCGCCTTATTAAGCCTGGCTGTCTGTAAACAGATTCAACACTTGGTGACCTCTTGGCATACTCAAATCCAGGGCTGCGTGACATGGCTTTAATTATCCCCCTTATCCCCCTCACCAGCTTTCTTTTTTTTTTCCACTTTTTATGTCCCTCTGCTTTTCTTTGTGGCATATGGTACTGAGGATGCAGAGCCCTGGGAGATGCAGCAGAAGTCCAGCCCATCATTAAGATGCACTGATTTAATAAACAGCTTGGGCTGGTGTTTGTTCTGACCTGCAAGAAGTGGTAGTGACACATCACACAGCATTGATAACGTGAGTGCTGTTGATAAATGTTAGGATCTGGTCATCATCATCATTAGAGAGATGACAGTGATGCAGAAGAAATCATTTTAAAAATATGCCCTGGTTCAGAGGCTGGAAACTGCAAAGGATGTGGTTTATTCTGTGTTTGGTATTTTTCTAACCTATAAAGGAAGCAGAACTCTATCATCAATAGACCAAAAATCACCAAGGAAGTGTTTCCACTTTCATCGAAAAACCTGCAGACTTACAACAAAAACGTATGTTGGTAATATCCAGCTTTATAAACATTAAGATATTGTACTCTTTTATTAATGAGTTTATTTTCATACAGTCAAGTGAAGCTGCAAAGCAAGGAGAAAGGTACGACATCAAATTAAATATATGACAAACAAGTTGTGGTCACTTTTATGATAAAATGACAAGACAGCAAATCATAATTACGATGAAGCTTTTATTACCACATTCTGATTTTTAATTTTTTTTTAATTAAATGTTAACAAAAATGTTACTTTCTATGCATAAAACGGGAGCAAATATCCTTTATCAAATTTGAAAAATCACCAACAAGAGCAACTTGATGTTGGACTGGAAACTGATTTCACATCACATTAGTTAAAGGTTAAATTCTTCACATTCTGTGGTTTTATTAAAACTACCAGCTCTTTCAAAGAGACAAAACAGTAATGAACCCATTTTCTTTTTTTGCTGCCAAAGAAACGCATTTTTTGATATCTTCTTTAGATGACCGATCCAGAGTGAGCCAATATTTAAGAAGTACAGATGTATGAAGCACCGAAATGTGACCACCTTTGTTAGAGTTTGTACACATCTTCTTGAGACATTAAGGGATAAAAAAAAAAAAACACAAAGACACATATACAACACTTAGTGTGACGATGACCTCAGATCTTCTCTTGAGTCTCACACACTCGCTTGCAGTCAGAGTTGCGGCAAAAGGACGCCGCTTCGACACCCAAAGTCTGCCCAGTGTGTGCTTCCTGTGCACTCACTGTCATGCACATGTTTGTGCGCAAGTCTGTCTTATGGATCCAGTGGGAAGGTTGTCTGATGGAGGAGGCCGTGTGACAGTCCCATAGTGAGAAGAAGAGGAGGAATGAGTTTCAGTTGTTCTGAAGGCAGTCGAGATCCACCGAGCAGCAAACGTTCCCGTTCTGAACAACAGAGCATGACAAGACAACAGAGGGAGCATTAAATAATGCAGACAGCTGTACATTATACATGTTGATTGTAAAGTCCAGAGGCTGAGCCACGGTTGTTAAGACTGCTAAGACTTTGGATTTTAGAAAAGCTCGTTTAAGCAACCAGAATTTATTTATAATGTATTTCAACATGCCACACATACATTTTTACCCAATAATAAGTTGCAATATGGAGAGAGTAACTCCAGGGATTGAACATCCTAACTCAACAGAGTTTTATAAATGGAGAACTAAATGTCTGACTGTCATTTTGTCAGTGACATTATTAAACTTATGCACAACTGAGAGAAATACAAAATCATAGGTCATAAAAGCTTTATGGCTAACATCTTTTAAATAGATATATTGTTGACAAGTCTTGTTTTCCGTTCGTTCTTTTGGGAGTTTATTTTAGATCCTGTGAATTTTTAATCAGCTTTATTTAAAGAATAATGCAGTTCATCAGCTATGATGTGTGCTAAGAACGGATTTCATTACAACTATCAAGAAAGGATTCGTATATCTGAAAACTGTTTCAAGGGTTAACATCTTTTAGCTGAGCTTCAAATTTTGAACCATATATTATACAATTTCTATAAGATGTTATTGAGTAATGGAGTGCATGACCTGCCACTGTGTCATTACAGAAACCTTTATGTCAGGTCAGACAAAGCTAAGGCAAACTATGTCTCTAACAACATCAATCAAGCATATGGACTTACTCAGCAGCAGAGGTCCTTATATAGACCAGGTTCACAGTGTGACCCTGATCTGTCTGCACAACAGCTGCTGATACCAAAGATGTTGGCGTAAATTCTCTGATACAGGTCATAATAGTCATAGGATTCTCAAAAAAACATGAATGCAGCAGAAAGTTCTGTTGCCATTTACTGAATTACTTGGGATGTTGTTTTTTTTTTAATTACAGGCAGGTGTTGTTAAAAAGAAAAAGAAAAAAAATTAAATACAGAATACAAAATGCTATCTCTGAACTGGAAACATCCAAGTTGGCAAGCAGCTGTAAAGTGGGAGGTAGTGTGAATGGTGTTGAAACATCCCTAAATGAGCTGCTTTAGCCCCAGAGGTTTTGATTCGATTTATATAAGATCACATTGTAGAAGGATATGCACAAAAACTACACTCTTTCTCAAGTTGCTGTGTGCAACTAAAAGAAAACAGATAAAGTGGGAGAAAGAAGCAGTTAAAGATGAAATCATACATGGGGTTTAGTCTGCCTCATAAGGAAAAATAATGTTTTGGTATGTAGGTTGGTTCAAATCACTTTTATAATATGGCATTTTAAGCAATTAAGATGGCAACATTTAATACCTTTTTCCAAATGCTTTTGTTCTGTTACTTTTCTTTCTATTTTGTCCAAAACAATGAAGCACAGAAAACTTTCTTCAGTAAGTGTTAAGTTTGACATCATTTGCTGCTTTTTTCTGGCAGCACTGTGGGAAATGTTAAATGCAGTGTTGTCACAAACTCTTGCTTGCAGGGGAAACTTGTCAATTGGCTGGTAGTTAGAGATGACACAATCTATTGTATTCCCTTTTAATCAGTGGTTTAATGAAAGCCATTTTACAAGTTCTCGGAAGTTTTCGAGTGAACGATGGACTAATTGTTACCTTCACATCGAAAACAGTTGAAAACTGCTTTAGAGAAGTAAAGGGAATTGCTGAGATAATGAGTTCAATTCAAAGGGTAATTATGGTTTACTACAACCTGTCCGATTTCCCAATGCAGATCTTGCATTATTTTGGCTCAGCAGATCATGTTTACTTTTGATTTTCCACTTCAGTTGTAGTGAATTCAGAAATCAATGAGTTGTACAAAACAGCAGCTTATTTTTTTTTTTCAAATCAAAACCTGGAACAAAAATCTTTATATCTTGCTAAGGATGGAATATATTACAAAAAATATAAAGTTTACATATTTTTGGTCAACTTTCTGGTGCAACTATGTTAGCATGCTTGGAAAAAATGTGTTCTGAGTCATAATAAACTATTGTTTAAAGCACACTGTGGAGTTGAATTTCAAAAGGAGTCGCTTGGTGATTATCGATGCTTTGACCTACCTTACACTTGCAGGTAGTGCAGGGCGACTTGGGCATATGCCATGTGTCCCCGCTGAGGCGAGTGACACCTGTGGGGTCTGTGCACGTCTGCCGAATGTCGTACGACAGGTTGTCAGCCAAGCAGGGGTCTGTGACGCAGCGCGGGCAACACTCACCCTCTGCCACTGCCGTGTACTCGCACATTAATACGGGACAGATTAAAGGCCAGCAGTCGACCTCCCCCTCCTGCAGAGACACAGGCCAAAAATAAAAACAAAAAGGCAAGAGAATTCAGAAATTTTGCTTCATGCTTCATGCACAGTTTTCTGCAGATAAAATTAGAGATCCACTAATGTGTTGTCACTTTTCAAATTAGAAATGTGGTAATTATCTCAGCCTGCACACACAGCTGAGCAGCGCATTAGATGTTTCAGCTTTGAATTTCATATTGATAAGAAGGTTCTGTATCATTGTTTGATCTAATTAAGCTATAATTCCATATTAAGGAATTTAATATCAGAAACTGCTGTAATACTATTGAAAACCCCCCCACAATTTTTCTGAATTTGTGTGAATTTCTTTTGATTTTATGTGTGTTGCTCATGTGTACACACCATGCAGCGACACTGCTGGCAACCGTACATCCAAGACGCTCCACTGCGGTACAGTGTTCGCCCACTCTGGTCCAGACACTGACTGCTGGGCCGGTTGTCACAGCTGGGACAGCAAAACAGATCCTCATCTGGGTCTGCACAGTCACAGGGTTTCCTCCTGCAGAACGTCTGTCCGTCCTGTGCATTACAGGTTACAGTAAGAACTAGCAAATGAACACAAGCCTCAATAAGGCAAACACGAGTAAAATCAGATACTTCTTCTTAAGCAATTGGAAAGGATTTTTAAAAATAAAACTGGAAAGAGAAAAACAGCATCTAAAGACTGCAACTCAAATCAGAATATAAATAAATGACAACAGTTCAATGAAAATAACTGAGATTCTTAAAACAAATTGAAAAGAACTGCATCTGAATGCAAACAGGGACAAATCCACAAATTAATAACAAAAGTCCCAAGAATTGCTACACTGCAAAAACACACAATCTTACTAAATATTGTTTGTCTAGTTTCTATTGCAAATATTTTAGTACACTTGAATTAAGACAAAATTAATCAAAAAGTAATTTATCAGCAAGACATAGAATCTTGTCTTAAGTGAGAAAAAAATCTTTAATATCTATAATTTCCTGAGGGAGTCTTCCCAAGGGATCAATAAAGTCAAGTCTCTCTAAAACATACAAGCTCCATTGGCAGATTATTTCACTTATAACATGGGAAAAAATGTTACAAGTAAATTCATCTGCCAATATGGAACTAGTACTTTTTAATCAATTAATTTGCTGAAAGGGTACTTCTAAGGTAGATTAGTCTTATTTTAAGTACTACGATATTTGAACATTTGCTTTTTCAGTGTATAAATTATTATTAGTTTTATTGTATTTAAAGTTAGAAGTATGAAAGGATGCAATGAGACCAAACTTTTCCTGTTTTAGGTCAGTTAGGTTACCAAAATGATTTTGATCTGAATGAATGTCAAATGCATCAAAATCAGACTCATCATTAACTTCCCTTTGCCCAGCCACAGCTATCCTGTACCTGGAAAGAAAAAACTTTATGATCCCTTTTACTGTGCACAGCCGGCACTGTCTGGCCCCAGGAAGATTTTGTTATAGAGATGTAAAAATGTTACATAAAAAGGTCGTTAGAAAATGTATGATGGCCCTAAAATCACTTTGTATGGCACAAAAGGGCAGCGCAGGGCCAATGTTTTATTGATCCATATTGTACTGCTATGGCAACTGCTCCATTATGTGGTGCCATTTCTGATGGCCATGGTCTGTCCAGTAATGGGCCTTGACATGTAGGGAAAACACCGCTTACTGGAACGTCCTTGCAGGGAATGTTTGTGATGGCAAACTGCAAATTTTAATGTCAGCAGTGAGATTACGCCTGCAAATAAAAGCTAAAGCTACACTGCTGTGCTCAGCAAAATAGTGCCAATTCCTGTTCAGAACTTTAATGGAAGACAAATCAGGACTCTGTTTTTTCCTCTGCACTTCAATGAAGAAAATACTTATTTAAGTCATAGTGATAACTGTAACATTCCTTTTTTAATGTCTGACTGCATTTGCTTCTCTTGATGAAAATGTGTATTTAGTGATTGGACTGCTTCCTTTTAGAAGGAAGCATTGCTTCAAAACCTCATTGCTTAGGTTTTGAAGCAATGGTTAACAGACGTGACCAGCTAAATATTTTGGATATTTGTGGCTTTTACTTCTACATCACCTTTTGCATGCATTGCTGCTGCCACTAAAACGATACAAGATGTGCTTGAATTTATTGGATACAGGTCCAGATAGAGCAAGTGAGACAGTCAGTGAAATAAATGTGTCAGAATCTAATGATGCATTATAAAACATATTCTATGGCTGAAAAATAAAAAAAATTAACATTAAAGTACTGTTTTGTCTTAAGCCATGCCAACCACTAAGCAGGTAGCAGAGATTTTCTGACTTTATGAAGCTCACTGGCTCCATCATTCTCAGCCGTCACTTTAGATCAAACACCTATTCCTCCCTTTTATATAAATCTTAATCTCAGAGTCTCCCTTTCCCAAAGACAAATGTGATCAATATCTCACTTTCCTGCAGCCACTGTTCTCTACCTCGATATGACTCCTGAGTACAGAAGGAAGTCATTAAACTGTCACAAATATTTGTCACAGTGTAATGCAATGATAAACAGGCGGGGGTGTATTTCGTTCTGGTGATAGAAGCATCAGATATATTCCATAAGTTTTTGGTGTGGTTCATGAATCTGGATAGAACTTATTAGCTAAATCAGTACCGGATTGGCAGCTGTGCAGAAGGTGTGTGGCAGAATTGGGCTGGAACTGACAACAAGAACAGATTTGAAGATTTTATTTTAGCAAACGATTTTTCACAGTGCCAACAATATAATCGCCGACAGATTCTGGGAAAGGCAATTTAATGTATACAGATAAAATAATAGAAAAATAAAGTGCCTGTTTAAATGTGATTTTTTGTCTTTCTCTAAAATAGATTGGTCTAAACAGTGACAAATCATTGAATATATTCAGAGAAAGCCATCAGTGGACCCAAAATGAAATAACTAGACATATTTCATGTCACTTATATCTTAAAACTTGTAAAAACATATCTAGAGGGATGCTTCTTTTTTATATAATGGTAAAATGATAGTTTTATTTGGAGTTTTCTGCTGAAGTGCTGTCATTTTCTATTAGGAAAAAAAATATCACCAGTCAAAGATTGTGGTATGAGATGACTAGGCAGTTTTTTTTTTCCACTCAAGGGATATTATGCATCCTGCTCTAAACACCTTCAGCTTTAGACTAAATACAAGAATAAATTCTCATAGGAATTTTGAGCAGTTAGTCATATTTTTGATTTGCTGTCACTTGGCATATACTGGTCCAAGGTGTTCGAGCTTGCCTGGGGACAGGTTTGATAAGAGACAGAGCTGAGCCGGTGACAAATACTCAAGGATATTGAAAAGGCCACCATGGGAATACAAAACTGTCACACACTTTTATTTTTCCCTTTTTAAAAGAAAACTGAACCATAATAGCATTGTTGATAAAATTTCCAAAGTACGGAAAGTTCTTCTTGACTGTATTTGTTAACTTTTGAGGCTCTTAGCCATTTCACTAACGCTGCAAAAACAACTAAGCCTCAGGATTGTCGTAAGGCACAAGTTTACTTTTGGGAACACCAAGATAAATCACTGAATAATTCCTTCAGATGGACAGAATAGATTTTTTATTTTCATTTCAGCACCTAAGATCAGTAAAATGGATTATTATTGCAGTTTTCACTCCCTTCATTTCAACATGCCAATGTAGAATGTGCTGTTGAACATAATTATTTCCATGTTCTGTACTTATTCACACAAGTTGCATTGATAAACATTTGTTTTCTGTTTGCTCCTCATGTTCATTTTATTGTTCAAAACTTTTGTTGTAGTCTGCTATGTTTTGATAAATATGTGCTTACTTACATAACAGTTAACAGAGGTTAACTGTAAGAGGAATATGAATGGAATAGTTTTATTAAATCTACATTGAATGGAATATAAACAGCTTTATTGTTCAATAAAGGATTAAATTCAAGAAGCCTGGCAGTTCCCACTTTTTTTATATCGAAGGCAAAAATGACCTTCCAGAATAATTTGAGATCAGATTTTTAATTTGAAAAATAGTAAGAAACTTTTAAACTGAACACCAATTGAACTAGTTTCTTTTAACCAATTGAATAAAATTACCCACTGTATGTTTGATTTCAACTTTACCTTGCATGAGCACAGAGCACAGCGATCATAGACGGGTTTCCAGTCTTCTCCGTTGTGTCTTATAACTTCGTCTTGTGGGCAGTTTCCACTGCAGCCTGGACCAGATGTGCACATGCAGTCATAGCCTCCTGGGAGGTTTACACACACACTATCATTCCAGCAGGTGTGTGTCTGCAAAGTGCACTCATCAATGTCTGAAAGAAAAAAATATAAACACTTTAACGTGCAGAAAATGATTTATAGTTACTACAATAGCTATAAATATTGAAGTACTCGTTTTAGACTACAATTGTTTATGTGAATATTTATGTGAATATTTATGTGAATATATATATATATATATATATATATATATATATATATATATATATATATATATATATATATATATATATTATATATGTGATATATATATATACAATATATATTGTGATATATATATATATATATATATATATATATATATATATATATATATATATATATATATATATATATATATATATATCACAAAAGTGAATTTTATCTTTCAGTGTCTTTATGTTAAAGACAAAACCCAAGGGAAAATACTGAAAAATACTGAACTCCTTAACTTTTTTTTTTCACCTATTTCTTCAATTTACTGTGAAGCTCAGAATGAGCAAGATGTGACATTCAGAAACTCTGCTGTGGCCAATTTATTATTGCAGCCTGGAGTTATTCAATAATTCTTTTAAATTAACAGCATTCGGTAAGTAAGGCTGTGAAAATTGAATGTTCACACTGATGCAGTCAGACAGACAGTCACAGCAGTGTGAGAAAATTCTTATTTTACGAAAGCCTTTCAGATCAGAAGTTTTAATTCCCACTGCTATGTGGTTTAACACATAGCAGTGAAGCTATAAAGAAACATTTGAGCCACATGGAGGATGTTCTCTGCAGAGAAAAAAACAAAACAAAAAGAGAAGGCATGTTTAAGCTTCCACTGCATCACCATCAGCTTCTTTCCTTAGGCTATGGCATTTTAAATTCATCTTTCTAACTCTTTCATTTTTAATTCTCTGTTTCTAACTGCATAATTTATTCATGCATCTATAACTTTTTTGTGATCGCTGCGATCTATAATTTTTATAGCATAATTATGATTAAAATTTGCTTGATTGTGAGGATAAGCTGTATTGTGCTGTCTCTGCCATCTTATACACACTTTAAGAAAAAAGACACCATCTGCTTTGCAATAAATCAAAAAAGTTTCATGTTCCATCTTATCTTCATATATATGGAATATACTTTGCATACTGTAGTAGCATCATAGTTAGATTTAGCTGAATCATCAAAGATCCCGCTCAGTCAGCTTCTTTTTCTTCCAAACCAAAATAAGAAATCCATTCAGAGAAGAGGTGGATGATATTTTCATTTACTTTTCATAGCCCCTGGGTAAAAAAGCCCCTCCTTAATTTTTACCATGGCATTTAACTCTCTTTATCCTCCCTAAATGTGAGCTGTTCAGAAAGAAAAAAAGGACCAAAGGCCTTTTGACAGCAGCTCTGTTCTCCCCTGCCAGAAGCTGCTGTCTGTAATCACTCCCATAGCACACTGACAGCACACTGCCGGTGCTGCATAAACAAAGGACCAAAAAAGAAAAACGGAAATCGCTCAGAAATAGGTTTTTGTTTATTGGTTGTCTTTGTTGAGCAAAAATATGTCAGCAAGTCAATTTCTTTTTACATTGTATAACTGTGAGCCCATTAAAGCGGTTTTCTCCCTGTTCGTTTGTTTTCCTGCTGATTCTCTGCGCTTAGTTCTTTCACATTTCTATCAGGCAATCCGAGGCTAAATATTTCATAACCTTCAGTAACCAATTTGGCACAAATCAGCCTGAACAAAACTGTCTCAAACTTGTTTCATCTTCCACTGTCTGGGCCGGGTTTTTTTTTTTTCCATGTTCAGAGCAGCTTGAAGTGAGCCGACTCCCTGTCATCACGCAAAAGATCAGACACTTTAACTACAAATTCCTGTGAATTTAGCTCTCGTTCCACAATTAGGAATAACATTTTTCATTTTTATGTAATTTGTAAAATGTAAAATCTTGGCCAATATAGGTTCAGATAACATCACTCCAATAAACATATTTAAACTAATAAAGAGGACTCTCAGATTATTCAAAAGAGAACTCAAGAAAAGGTTCTGGGATTATAATCATAGTTCCAGTAGGAGGAACTATGATTTTCATCATTTTCAGCATTTAAATTATTTGAGTAAGTCTTTTTCAGACTACAATTAAAAATTAAAAATATAATACAAGAACTCTGTTTAAAAGTTACCCATACCTCCCACCAGCATATGTAGGATGTCACCAAATATACTGACATCATTCTATCTAGCTGGATATTAAACTATGTCTCTTGATTCAGTTAACTTATGCCGATTGGTTTGCTGGTAATGTTTCACCCATTAAACATAGTCAAGACACGCCGCCAACTTTAATTCTAGTTCTTTAACTACATACTAAAAAAAAAAAAATCAAAGGTTTTAGCTGCCAAACTGGTTGAGTTGACTCCATTACACTCAAACAATGCAGGGTATGTACTCAGATCATTAAGTGCCAAATGGGAACACTGAACATGAAATGTTTAATAAAGCACCATTTCTGTATGAAAATTATTGCTTAGCACATAAAGTGGAATGGGAGAGACAAGCTAACAGGGTAATACGCCACATAATTTAATTTTATGGCATGAACACAGAAAGTGACCCATTACTTTTAGTCAAATGTGACAGCGCTAATGTGCAAAATGAATACAGATAACTACAAATTAAATGACTTGTATCTGCTGCCTTTTCAGAAAAAAATAATGAAGTTGTCAAGTAGTATCTGAAAATAAAAAAAATAAAATGAAATAAAGAGAAAAGTGATGGAGGAAACATTAGAGCCCAGCAGCAGGGATAACGATGCACATTTTTTTAGGTAAGGCAAAAGTATAACTTGCTGAGAAAAAGATGTTTGTTGCAGGGAAACCAAGCATGTATCAGGACAAGTTCTTACAGATATCTGAGAATTTACTTTCACTCACACTCCAAATATTTATGTTTGTATTTATAGGCAGCAGAGGAAGAAGGCCATGTGAAATTTATATTTAGACACTATTGTGCCAATACACATATATATATATATATATATATATATATATATATATATATATATATATATATATATATATATATATATATATATATGTATTTTATAACATACAACTAACAAGTGATGTAATATAGGAAACAACAATTTGTTCTCTTGCTTACTATGACATGCTGTGTGTTTGAGATCATTGTCTTACTCAATATTAAACTTGTGAGCTGAAGTGAGATAAGATAATTTGGAGATAGTCCGCTCTCTGACTTATTCCCTCCACTCTTCCAGACATAGCTTTTCCAATTTTGAAGTAGGAGCATATTTCTTAGTGCAAAACTTTTTAGTTATGGCAGTGGGAAACTTATTTTTTGGAGCAGAATCCCTTCACAAAAGTCCTGATTCTAGTATTGGGATTTTTTCAGAACATTAAAAAAAATGTCTTTCTACGACGGATGACAGTGTGGATCAGATGATTGAAACATGGCTTACATTGGGTTTTCCAACAAGAAAATTATCCCAAGAGAGAAACTCTCTAAAAACTTTTCATCAAATATTGGTGAAAAATTGGCTGAGCTAAATCCACAGTAAGTCCCAACTTGTGCACACACACCTAAGCTTTCCTTTTTGAGGGGAATGATGAGTGGCCTTCAGAAAGGAGACCTTGTCTGGGTGGACTTAGAAAGTACTTGTCAAACCAGCTGCAACAAGATACTGTGACACTAGTGAATGTGCTCCCTAATTGGCTCCACTATCAATTCTTCTGGAGAAGGAGAGAGGGGAAAGAACTCAGCCGCAAATTTATTGTGCCTCCGACAAGCTATTTGCATACGCTAAATGAAATCCCCATCAGCCAGTCAGATATACTGTACCTCTGCTAGTGATAGATTAATACTCTTCATGCTACATTCCCTGCATTTAGCCACAAGCTGCTGCCTGCAGATGAGGCGCGCTCTTACATGCAGGCTGTAAATGGTGGCACTAGAATAAAACACGAAAGCCCTTTGGATAGACCAGCTGAGCTGAAGCAACAAAACTTTCATTCACATCCAAATGTACTGTCACACATGAAAAGACTAATCCTATGTTAAAACATGACAATGCATAACCAGAGAAAAGCACACGCACAATAAAAAACACCAGGCAAAAGCCAGTAAATCCCTCTGACAGATGTTTGTAATTAGAAGGCATCAAAAAGCTCAGTATTTGTGTATTTAAATTATATTCCTTTGGTCGGTCTTCAGGCGGTCCATATGGAGAGGTCGAGTGCTCTACGGCAAGAGAGAAAATTATGCACACACCCTGTCTTTCCAAGAGACATTGGAAATTGACAACATTGGAAATTAACAATGACAACGTTATTCTCATTTTCATTCACAATCTGTTTATTACAGCCACCTGTCGCCCCTGAAGCAATAGGAATGATAAACATGGGATGAGGCAATGCATGTGCAGCTTTTAGTTAAAGCTGTAAAGCAGTTGTTTGCAGTTGCTTGGGTTCTCACCTCAGCAGTACACTGCAAGGTAACATGGCATGTCTTCCATGTATACTCAATACATTGCATCACAAAGATTATTTCCATTAATGAAATAGTGATTATTTTCTGACCCAGTGATTGAACTGTGGTATTAATATGTAATAGTTTCCATTTCCAGGGCTGAAGTGTTTGTGAAAAACTTGTAAAGCGCTTTCTCGGATAACAAACCAGAGTGAAATTACTTAAAAAATAAAGAAGCTTACGAATTAAGGCTGCTGTCACACAGTTTCTCATCCTTCTAAGTGTGTTGTTCTAAAAAATGTGCTTCAAGTGGGCCAATGCATGAGTAAAAGATGGCCTTTGGTGGAACATCAAGTCCTATTTGAAGTTCGTGTGTAGCTTTCTTGTGTACTACAAGAGTATTTGTGTACTCTTGTGCATGAAGAGTACACAAATCCCCATTTTTAATGACACTGGGATGGGTTAGTTAGTTTAACTTTTGCCATATTTAAAGATAAACTAACAATCAGAGGGTGACGTTTAGATGCTGTATGAGAAATCAAAGGAGGTCAATTAATTATGAGCACAATCAATCTGAAAGTAGGTCAGGCTGCCAGCAGTTGGAGTCATATTTTGTATTCCTCAAGGTGAGGTCAATGAATATTCATAAGTTGAGCATCATAAAATTAAGAATCAGTAAAGTCAATCACGTTTCTTCAGCAACAAGGCAGTTCAAAGTGCTTTACATCATAAAAACGTCATACAGACACCAGTTTTGAAACCAGTAGCAAAACATGACATTTTGTCAAGTGCCATCATCAATATACATCAAATATGCTGGTCAATATTCCAGTTATTATGGGTTAAAATATGGGAAGATAGTTAACTATTTGGTCACTGTCACAACATTTAAGAAGCACTTGCATAAGTCCTGTAGTAGTGACACACATGTATGGTAAATATGGCATCTCAGAAGAAGCTAATGCCATGAAATTTATCACCTTACCCAAAAGAATTCTTAGCAGCTCTGCTTACATAAAGATCAAATTGCATATTTTAAAATATCAGTTGTGTAGGAAGGCGATGCTGGATTGTAATCTACCAAAGGCGGAATGTCTTCCTACACCATTGAAACACAATGCAGATATTGAATGGAGTGATTGGATAAAATGTGCTGCACAGATGGATGCCCTGGGAGAAACTCATCCAGTTATTGTGTGTGCCAAGGACAATTTAAATTTTAGCTAGAAGCTCTTTTTACAGCGTGTGCACTGAGAAGGAAAGGTACATCAACTTGTTAACACTCGCTTTGTGAGCGTAATTACTTTTAATACCACAGCTAATATGATTCATTTGGTCTATTTATGTATTCGATAAGACTTTCCTGCATATAGCTCTTGCTGGTGTAGAAATCAAATCAAATTAGTGCTCTGTTGTCTGTCATGGATTGTTGCACCTGTAGTGAAACTTCTTGCAAAAATCACAAATTTTTAAACTGGATAATGAAGTTTTGTTCTGATATCTTGATGCAAAATGCTATATAATGTTAAATATCGATTGACTCGCGGAAGGCTGTTTAGAAGACGTTACAGAATTAGAAAATACCTGTTAAACTGAAATTTTTCTCGATCACTTAAAACCTAACACTGGGCAGCATGAGGGGAGAAAAGAAGGCAGCTATAAAAAGCAGAGCACAGAAATAACAGATTCTTGTTAAGAATGTAAGCAATCACACTGTGTATCTTATACAACTGATGAATATCATTTCATCAGGTCTGATCGGTAGTGCACAAACTCCCCAGATTATTGCTGTAATTTCCTGCAAGTCGTCTTTTATGTCTCATATTTATGTAACAGAACTACTTTAGAAACAATTTTCATGGCATATGGTTTTATCACAGAAATCATGACAGCTAAAATAAAAGTCCATTTCTGTCTCGTTAAGCAGAGTCTCTTGGTTGCAAGATTCCTCAGCGATGTGCTCATTATGTTTCTCAAAACCAACTGCGGAAAAAGGCGTGCTGTTTCTCATATGACAAGCTATAAGATCCAACATTGTTGCATTTCTAATTATATTAAAAGGAACTGAAAGTGAACACACCTTGAGGTTACTCTTGTACATTGCTATACCATTGAATGTGAAAACTAAAACTTGCACCATCATAGTCAATTTTGCAGAGTAGCTGAAATTTAAATGAAGTCACTTTTTTTGGTGGAAAGCGCTGAGAACATTCCTCTCCAATCTAGGTAGATAAATGAGAGCAGGCTGCTGACGTTGCATTTTGATTCAAAGGTTAATTGACGGCAGACATATTTCACTCACCCAAGCGATCCTGTTTGCTGCATCTGTTACAAGTACAAAGCTGCCATGCTTGGATTGTTAAGAGGGATGTCCAGATTCTGAGTACTGAGCTGAAGGTCATGTGTAATGTAGTGAGCTGATACAGTTCTTGATGTTCAGTTAATGTTGGAGACAGAAGTCAGAAAGCAGCCACAGTGGAGCAGTAAATGTCACTGAATGAGCAACTCCTCATGGAAGAGGTTTTTATTTTAATAATCCTAATAAAAATCAGTATTATGAGTATATCAACATGTATCTACATGTCATCTGTTGCTTTTTTCTATTAGCAACATAGTTATAATCCCTGTTTTGAGCATCATTATCTACTCAGCTTCTCTAAGATTTATTTATTGATCAAAAATATTAGAGAAATAAAGCAATGTTTAAAGAAGACAACTGAGATTAACAATAATACTAAGACTGTAATTAGAATCTTTTCACAATTGGAAGACTAATGTTTGTTTGGATAATGCAATGAACACAGTTAATCTGTCTCTTCTGTTTTTGCATCATATGATATAAATTACATCAGGATCATTTAATTGTTTTTAATTCAAGTTTTTAAAGCTAGGATTGCTTAGCTTATCCTGCTTCCTACCTTAATATAAACTTAAACATGCAAAGTGGGAGCCATAGGTTTTTGTATCTAGTAATTGTTAGCAAAACATGTTTGATTATTTGACGTCACAGTACCTGTACTTTAAGGTACATTGGAAACCTACAAATTTTCATTCATAAATCCTTCAGGTGCTCTCTAACGACAATAATAACTGCTTATTTTAACACTTCAAAACTAAATATATCTTAATATGCTTAAATACCCAAAGTGGAAACCATCTTAGTATTTCTCCAGAAGCTAATGTCTGCAGTCTTCCTTATCGCTGCCAGAGTTGCTGTTGGGAGTACAGCCAATCAGCACCAAGGATTGTCTACATTGCAGCAAAGAGGATGTCAACATCCTTCACCTAGGCTATAGCTTCCCAATTCTTCTTTTATATAAATATATAATATTTCTATGCATTTTAGTTATTTCATTAGGATAACCGGAACACTGAACTGTGAATACGCAGAATTTCACCGCAAATCATTCCAGTCAAGGAATTGTAAAACAATGGCACTTGTAAGATTTTATGAATTAAAAACATAGTTTGATTAACAACTTATAAAAAAAAACAGAGGAAAGAAGACAATTGTTGGCTTTATGTATTGTATTGCATGCACTATGACATGTTCAGGTCACATTAGTTACGTTTTGAATTTTTTCCAGTCCTTCCTGAAGAATCTGTACTTTTGATCATGTGTTCTTTAAATTAGGCAAAAATTCTACATGTAATTTTAGAAAAATCTGAAACATCTGGTGTGAAAGTCACAAATTTCCCACTGAAATCTGTACAACTGTAAGTTTGCATTATAAGAACGGCCAAGTGGCTCTCTAAATCTAAATCATGACTTAAAACTGCAGTGAAGGATTTGGAGGGAATTAAGTGTTTCATAGCTGAACAGAGAGAGAGAAGAGAAAATGTCAATAACTGTGAGGATGATGAGCATCTACTGATGTGCTGCTGGTCTCTGTGGCACTGATAAGGATGATTTCAGCTCAGTATGCTCACCAATGCAGGAGCTTCCATCTAGCTGGTAGGATCCATTGTCATGGAAACCACTTCTGCATTCACAGTGGTACCAGCCGGGTAGGTTGACACAGCGGGAGTGGTTGTGGCACTCGATCAGGCTCTCTGCACACTCATCTATATCTGAAGACATGAAAACACGGCAGCAACAGAATCAGCCGCAACACATTTCATGAGAAGAAAACTTGAACTCGAAAGCTCCCCTCATTTGTGCTTTTCGATATCATGTCTTTGAATCTGTGCAGGGTATGGCAGCTGAGGCTGATCTAATCAGAACAAATCACTGCTGCAACTGCAGAGCTGAAGCAGTGGTTGCCCACGTCAACCAGCCCCTCAGTCTACCGGAGCAGTAATCAACGCTCAAAAAAATCACTTTGTTTCATAGCAGAAATATTTTTACTGTGAATGTTTTCATTTACCTTCTCTTCGCTTGTTTCAGTTTTCTTACTCAGCAGACTTTGGCGTGCTGCATGCATACACATGCTCAGCCACCAGGTTTAAGGTCTTTGCACCTTCTCAGGAGAGTAAATGTGTCTCATCCATTATGTATGCTGTTAGCTCTGCTCCTCATCTACAGCTTTCTGCCTGCTGGCTGTAAAAGCTGACCTGTGTGCTCGCTTTAGTTAAGGTGTGACTGAAGGTCACACCTTCAATCACGTTAATGCAGAACAGGGCAAACAAAAAACCGAAGTCAGGGAATCTGCATTGACTTCTGAGTATTTTCCAAGCAACTAATGTTGAAGAAGTTGGTGGTGTGAAATTTATACTTAGTACTAAATAGTATCAATAAAAAGACTTGAAAGAAAAAGTATTGTTTCAATATGCGCATTAGTTTTTATTATAATTATTACTATCATTATTTTGTCATATCACAATTTAAAACTATGAGTTTTAAACCAATTATTTGTGTGGCGTAATTTTAGATTAGCTTTATACAGCTAATCACCTCCGGCACTTAACCAAGTTTAATATTTACCAGATTTTCACTCTCTCCATCCTGCTTTTCATTAATATTTTGGGTCATTAATATTTTTTCTCTGTCAACATTAAAATTTAACAATTTTTAAACTATCATATGTGGTTTAAGCAACTTCACTCCTTGGTTCACTGCAGCTGTTTCAACATTTTTCCATTATTTCATTGAACAGTTTTACAACTTTGATTTTACAATCAATAACCTTCCATTTCCACTTCCAAATTTGTATGCTTTTAACAGTATTTGAACACATTTAATAGCAATAATGTTTGTAAATATTAGACATACTCTCATATATCTTCAAAAGGCAATGAGTGTGAAATAATGTAACATTTTCTAAGAGAAACTGGCTAATAATACTAATGAGATACCTATAAATTTTCAACAATAATCCCCCAGGTTCAGCCTTTATGCAGGCAACAGGGCAGGCTCTGTGAATCTGTATTTGAAATACTACACCATTTTTACTATGGCGTCTTTATGTGGGACATGATTCAACCAAGCTAAAGTCGTAATATAAAGAACAAATATTTTGTGTATATGTTCAACCAAATGACAGAAGCTGACCTAATCTGATACCTGCTAAACCAGCCTGCGTTTGACCTGTTAGTTGTGCACTGCCTTATGTTGCCTTTGCAAATAAACTCACTCCTGTGAAAACTGGAAACTGTGAAATATTTACAGCTAGTAAAATTGTTTTCACAGTACAATCACATTCTTTTAAAGGGCCCTATAACCACTGAAAGTCAGCAAATGTTCTGTCTATAAAATTTGTTTTGATGTCTTTCCACTTTATTGCATTAGTAGTACACACTTGAATGACACCGAAAGCAGAACACTGACTTTGTTTTTTTTTGTTTTTTTTTTTCATTCAACCATGTGTATGATCAACCACATTTTTTCTGGCTCCTGCAAATGTTAAAACTGGATCCTGTTACTTTTGACTATAATGCATTAAGCAGTGAGTGTGCTGCAGTGTGCACTGGTCTGGTGCAGTTAGGTAATAAGATGTGACAGTTGTCTGGAGGGTTGCCCTCCTTCAGCCTCTGAGGTCAAAAATCTGCTCATAACTACAACAAAAATATTCCCTCTTTGAAGGTCTGTTGGAAGAACAAAAGTCTAGAGGTGGCTGATGGCTGAGAACAGCTAACAGCTCAGTAGAGCAAAGCTTGGTTCAAATAACCTTTTAACAATAAATAAAATTTCCTGGCTTCAGTCGTCTGCTCTGTGGTTTTCTGCACTCAAGTTAATATCAGTATTTATATGTATAAAAAATGCTAACATTGTAAATAATCTAATTTATGTTCAATTTCAAAATGTTATAATTAAAACAAAATAGCTCTTTGTTTATCCAGGAAGAAAAAAGTTCTCTTTGTTAGTGTATTTAAAGAAAAAGAGGCAATACAAATGAACACATTTAATAGCAATTATGTTTGTAAATATTAATGTTCTCATATATCTATAAAGGCCGTGAGTGGGACCTTTATTTATGACCTGAATTTATGAATTGTTTTTGATGACATTAAAAGCAGAACGCAACTTGTTAATTCATGACTAGTATTTAAAAAAAAAAACACACATTTTATCTAAAAGCTGAGCTCCTATCCAGCTTTGTTCTTCAAAGCTATGGAGTCTGCAGAGAACAATGTAAGCTTTCAATGAGGCTTTGCTGTTCAACGTGTTGGTATGGCCATAATGTGAGTGAAAATCCGCATTGAAACACAACGTCCTCCAACTTATACCACCATATATCATATTAGAGCTGCTGTCAGCTGCTAGCAGTCTGTGCAGAAAAGTGACTGATAAACCTTACCCTCTGAATACAGTTCATACAAATTTTTACTCTAACTCTCTCTAAAGATGGGAAACACTTGAATTACAAGAAAAAAATTATAAAAAAGTTCACCATGAAGTGATGAACCATAGCTATTTCTATATGTATCCATCCACAGTAATCTCATCTCATCCCATACTTATCTTCTGATAAACACAGCTTAAGAGGATGCTGTTATATCACACAAAACAGCATGTAATTGTTTTAAGCTGCTTACACAGGAGGCTCTTTATCTTTTCTAAAGTAATTGAGAACATAGGCCAATATATATATAAAAAACACCTCTCCATATCCACTGAAATATTTGCTATAGTTCCTTTACTATATACATGCTGCCAATGGACTACTGACAGAGAGAACATGGAGGGGGAAACTTATGAGTGCAGCACAACTGCAAGAACTATGGCATTGATTCAAGGCTACAACTCAGCACAAGTTTTTTGCAATATTGGTGACACGGCTGCAAATACATTCTGTGACAAAAACTGTCATCCTCAACCCCTGAAAAGGAGAAACAGCACTCAGTGAAGTTACCCAGACAACCCTAACCGATTCCACTGCCAGAAGGAGACAAAGCGGTTCCCTTGGGTACCAAATGCAACAACTGACATAGGCAACACAGCACTAAACATTCTCTGTTAAAAGTTTCCACAAGATATGCCATGTACATTGTCACAACCAACTCATGTGATAGCTTTGAAGGTGTTTCCATGTTTACTCACCCAAAGATAGAGGAATGACTGAACTGAGTGAGATTGAACGCTTGCTATTCTTATCTTGGCTACTTTTCTTTATTTTTCGTTGCTCCATTCTCCATCGAAGACTCAATGAGCCACAGCTGCTTACCCTCACCATAGTTTTTTTTTATCCCATTTCTATGATTTACCAGATATACTTTCATAAGCAAAATTATTTAAAACAAAGACTTAAACATATAAAAACAAATAGGAGATCAATAAATTCTCAAAAATAAAAACATGAGTTTTTTGCTTTGTTGACTCCATTTGTTCATGTAAGTTTTTTTTTTTATCAACATCCCTAATTGATTTTTACCATTACATTTTAGTTCCAATGTTACAAAAGTGAATGAACTAAAACCTAGATATTTGTGTAATGAAACTACGTACATTCGGCATAAAAACACTTTCTAACTACTTAATAAACTCCTACTTTCACTAAGTCAATAATTGCTGTTCAGTTTGTTTCTTTGTGGTTGTGTCTAAAAGCACATTTTTCATTACTGGTGTCTGTGCGGGTGGCCAAGAATGGTCTTCTCCTCTCTATGCCTGTGAAAGTGAAGTGGACAGATGACCTTCCTGTGATATGAGGTACAATATGCTGGACTCCACACTCCATCAATCTGGGTTAGAGCCATGAAAGAGAGGAAGCAAGACAGCAGCTCCACGTTTTCTTCTGCTTCCTGCTATGAAAATAAAAACAAGAGCTCTTCGCACTTCCCTTTAGCCTCATCTGTGAATATTGTCATTGGAAAATAAAGGCTTTTTGACAGCGTGTATTTTTAAGAGTAGTTAAAATCACCTCACAGGGAAAACTTGGAACAAATCCATTTAAAGACTAAAATAACTCAAAAGGTCTCTGGAAAGCCTTTTACCCTGCTGAGCTTTATGTAATTACACTTATCTGAGCTCTACTAACCTACTGCAACAACTGCCAGGAAAACCTTGCATTAACCATTTACAAGAGTATGAACCTGCAGATTAATCAGAACATGGAGAGCTTGACAGAGCTGCCATATACAATGTGTTCCAAATTATTATGCAAGTGATATTTTCTTAAATGGTCAATGCAAATTATGATCAGTATAATTTTCAAGTCATGAAGTATTACAGTATAAATAAAATTTTACTGAATAAAGTTCCCCATGAGAACAGTATTTCTTCCAAATTAAAAAACACAAAATGCACTGTTCTAAATTATTATGCACAGCAGATTTTGTGAACAGTTTATGGATTATAAAGTTTTATAATGTTTATATTTTCAAATTCTAAGTCTACATTTTCACTACAATGTATTAGCACCCTGCTATCTTTGTCTACAGAGGTAGATTGTAGTCTAAGCATTACATGTTCAATCAGGTTTTGTCACAATTCAGTAATATGTGACATAAAACTGGCAGATTTCTTTTTAATAATGAGTCAGCAATGATCCAAATACACTGATTTTGGTCCATGTTATGGCACATTTAACTCTGAATCCTTTCAGCAGGAGAAAATGTTAGAACAAGGATTTCACCATAATCTGTTCAGCTTTTGATCCAGTGGAAGTGAAACCTGAGAAAATGGGGTGACTATGTAAACCTACTGGAAAATAAAAAGAAACCCAGAAGAATGGATCAACGGGGTAGGCGTTACAAAGATCAGCGATAAGATCGACTCTCTTCCCTTCAGCTTTTTATGTTCAGGTGCTTTCAGGTTCTCAGTGAAGTAGGTGGCAAATCTGAGGAGAAGAGGTGGATTTTATTACACTAGAAGAACATAAAGTCTGAAAATGGATGGAGAAAGACAGCAATGTTAACACAAGAGATAAGAAACTGAGATGGAAATACAGCAGACAGAGAGAACACGTCACAGACAAAATTAAAGTATAAACCATAAACAGCTAACACGACGCCAAAGGCAGAGTTTTTTGAGAAAAGTAGGAAAAACACAAACTCCTCTGTAAGAAATGGAAGTAATTCTTCTATCATTCACATCTTCTTTGTTTGTTGGAGATCTACGAATCTGCTCCGAGGTGCTAGAATGTTTTCAGTGAATTTAGAACCAGAAATTGAACTTTTGCTTAAGTAAGAAAGGAAGTAAACGTAGAACGAACACCAAACTGTTTAACGTGATCTATGAAGAGTTTAATTTTAAATAAAAAGCTCTCCTTTAAAATCTAAACAATTTAGCTTGAGTTGTCAGAAGGAAATGTTTATATGCTATTATTTTGCAACCTCAGTCAATTATGAATATTGTGCATATGCAGAAAAGTGCATTGACATTCACAGACAGACAGATTTACCACTGTAGCACATCAATAAGAACCGAAGGCAGCAACCAAAAGGCCACAGGGAGGAGCCTCATTAGCAGGATGTCTGCATTTTGGTGTCCTATTAATGGGAAAGCTGCTTTCAGCAAATTATTACCTATTTTGCATAATGTTTTCCTTCCCTTGCCCTTCTGAAGTTCTTCAAGAAAAACATGTAGGATCATTTTGCCAATGCAATTTTGTAGTTTTTCAACCCAATCCGACTCTTTGCCTCTAATCAAAATAATTTCAATTTAGAGCCATAAATAATAAGCTAGCACCAACTCAGGAAGGAAAATATTATGTTTGCGAATAAAGTTTTATTCTGAGAAAACATTGCTGAAGATTTAAAATGCCACATTAGTTAACCAGTAGATTGTTTGATGTTGTTTATTTGTGGTAGTGGAAGTGTTAATTACATCTTGGATGACTGAATTCAGTAGCAAGTGATGCATCCAGATTAAGAATAATTCATGCTCAGACTTTTACATAATAAGTAGTAAATATGCATTATCTACACTGTTATTATTTGCCAAAATGCTCGCAACCAAACTTTTAAAATAAAATAAAAATTAAAAAAAACTTTATTTGTCATAAATATTTCTTCAACGTTGTTTTCTATTTGATTAGCATGACATGAGTTCCTTATTGTGTTGCAGTTTTAGGTATGCAGCAGACATTATATAAGTGACACTTGAGATTTAAATTAGATAATTCTTAGGCCTTTCAATTTACTCCTGTTTATTAAACTGTATAACCTAATTAAGTCTAATCATTTCGATATGCAGTATGCAGGTGTTGTAGCACAAACAAGGAAGATAAAATCATATCAGACAACATAAAACTTTGGTGAAGAGAAGTGACAATTACAAGGGGTGGGAAAAGTTTTCTTAGAGAATTTAGGACTGACTGAGTGAAGAAGTGAGAAGATTTATAACAAACCTTAAGGGAGAACTATTTAAAACAAGTTGTAAAAAGCTGACCTGTAGTTTCTCTCATTTCTGAGAGCTGGCAGATCACCTTTGTGAAATTATAATATCAAGACAGCGAGGGAGACAAATGTAGGAGATGTAGATAAAACAAAAAGATGGGAAATTAATTTACAAATACTGGCAAAAAATGAGGGAATCAGAAAGAGGAAAATAAAAATATATAGAAACAAGATAAGATCATAGCAAGCAGACAGTGAAGAAAATACTAAAAGGAATGAATGAAAATAGAAAAGTGAGAGAAAGAAGAGTGAGAAATAGAAAAGGAAAATAGAAATTGACATGAAAGAGTGGAAAACAGTGATATGACATAAATAAAGGACAAAAAAAAGTAAGTAGAATGAGTTGTTCAAAGAAAAAAGGAGGAAGTAAGGAAGCAATTTGGGGAAAAAGGAGAAAGACAGGTGAGTTAAGGCGAAAATGGAACTACTAAGGAAGAGGAAATGGGAATAAGGCTCCAGATAAAACAGAAAAAGGGAACGGGTTAAAGGTCCAGAGTAAAATAAAGAAAAAGAAAAAGCAGTAATAAATGGTGAAAAATGAAGACGAAGGGGTTATGAAAAAGAAATGAGATAAAGAAGAGAAGCTAAAAGGAGTTGGAGCAGAAAAAATTAACTGTCCTTTCCTATGGCTCTCATGGGATCCTCAATCTCTGCTGTGTCTAATTTAAATAAAGGGCCTGGAGTCGGAGCATAAATGTGTGTTTTGTATGTGTGCACATGGTTATAACTCCCAGTGGGTACTTTATCCCAATTCCACACCAACCATTTGTGCTTGGTGTCACAGAAAAAAGTTCCAACTCTAACCCAGTCCTGTGCATACCTGAGCGATAACGGTACCAACTCGAATGGAAGACGGATGAAAACTGGCCAAACAGATAGGCTGGGTCAAAACAATAAAATAAATTGATCTGTAATTTGTATTTAGAATACAGTAATGAAAATAAATGATTATCTAAATGACAACACCAAATATAGACAAATGTTTGCACCAAATAGAGGCTGAATAGTCATAGCACCTAAGAATAGTTTTAGGCATCCTTCATGTCTCTGAGCAAGACTGTTGAGCTAAACACACTGATTTTGCAGTAAATTATCTCTAGGATGATTTATTTCAAGTCAGTTTGAATAATCAAAGCTTTGCATCACTCACTTTTCTACTGATTCCTGTGCCGTTTTCTACATGGAGTCTTAAGGTGTATAAATAAAAACAAAAGCCACATTATTATGATAAAATATGTTCCTAAGAAGCTGTATGCATTACTTCTAATATGCTGTGAACAAAATACTATTTTTAGACTTTTTACTCTTCGTGATCTGCATCTTCTGCTCTGTGATATTTGCAGCTGTGTCAGAAAGAAACCATTCCACAGAAAGAAAGAAATCGGTTTTTGCAGCTGTCTTGATTGGAATTATGAGTCTGTACTTAACGTTTCTGAACACAACCTGAACTATGCTTGGAGTGATTTTATGTACCTGTTTCACAGCGGCGTCCTGTAAATCCTGAAGGACAAACACACGTGTTTGGAGACACACAAGTCCCTCCACTCCGACAGCCATCTTCACAGAAAGCTGGAAAAACAAACAGCAATGAGTCAGTAAAGTCTCTCAGCATGTCATTGATGTGCTGCCAGGCATTAAACCACAAAAGGCTTTGAATCTGTGCAGTTAAACTCTGTGTGAAGTGGAATGGCATTTTAAGGCAGAACTTACCCCATGGATTGCCTTAAAAAGAAGCATTACAGAACTGAGGATGTTTCTGTTTGTGAAGTTCAGTAGATTCAAAATCTGTGAATGTTATTTTTATGGGGCTAAAAACTTTAAATGAAAATTTCGACTGACTTTTTCAAATTGAAGATAGCATTATCCAAAGTTTGTGTAATAATGGTTAAAACGACTGTGGAATTGTTAAACTAGCTACATTTACTCATGAGGTAGACTGACCTTTATTTTAAAACCCGGCAAGTAGGAAGTGTTTTCAGATTTGAAACTCTAAAAAAAATTACAGATCTCCACATTTATGCCCCCTCATGCATAATTGTAAGTTAATAGCAAAATTTGTCCCAAACTCCACTTCGCCGGTCTTCATTGTTAGTCAACATGTTAGTCTTCATCTAATCTCTTTTCTTCTATGTAGATTTTGGAAGGGTTCAGAAACAATAACATCCCACAATTCTTTGAAATTTTTTAAAGGTAGTACAACAAAAATTTCAGATTTGATTGCAAAAAAAAAAAATTAAAATACAAAACAAAATTATGAAATCCTGCAAGCAGTAAGAAACACTGAAGATTTATAATAATTTCATTTAAACCTTCATACTAACAGTTTGAAGGCAACCTTCATTTAACAGCCCTGAAATGTGAAATCCAATCAATGCAAGTAGCTTTGCAAGTCACACTTCAACACATCAGTGGTTTCAACACACACACTCCAAACTCAAACTTGCACACCATGCAAGTCAATAAAAAAGTCATTGTGGCAATAAGGCTGAAACTAAAACAGGCGTCAGTCATCCAAACATAACAGCATTTATTAATTATGACATTTCTAGCCACTTTTGGAGGCGATAGTTAAAAATCAGTTTAAATGCATTGATTAATCAGGTGTTTTTCTTCTTTCTCTAACATCATGTGATGCATATGAACAGCTCACTGCAGTGATGTTATTCAAAGCTTGCACTACTCTGTGTACTTATGTCCTTTTTCCTTATAACTGTAAATAAAAAGACTGAGAGTTAATTAATGCAATCCTGTTTGACTATCTTGATTTGTTGCAGCAAAGCAAATAGGATATATAGACATAACTAAAACTTGATGAAGTGTTTGATAAGCCAAGAGGATGCACAAAATGTGACTTTTTTTTCATTGTGCAACTTATTCTACATTTACTAAAATAGTAAAGATGAGACAAGAAATAGGCATGTATAACTTAGACAGCAGCTCAATAATCGCAATATTTTCAAAAAGATCAAAAAGTGAGAACAAAACAGTCAAAAATACATACTTAGTAAATGGTTTTAAAGTGTGAAGGATAAACCAGAAACGGGGCAGGCTTAATTGAGTAAGATAATTAAAGATAAATTACTCAAGTAATTCTAAGCTTAATTAATGACATGATTCCAGAGATGATCCTTAATGGGCTGAAAAACCTATTTAAAGTCACATACCATAGGGCGTGTGAGCAAAATATCTGTGTGCAGCGGATTGTCTCAAATTAGTTGATGATACCAAAGAAAGACTATTTGCCTGCATAAATTATTATAACAATTTGGAGAAAAAGAGGCTAAAAATACAAACAACAGTATAGCAATAAATAAAAGCAGAACCCTAGACCTATTCATCTGACTGGCTCCACTATTCAAGAACCTTTATCAGGCCCTCATTAGGAGCCCGTTGCCTCTGTACTAATAAACCTCACTCTTAAAAATTAATTACATTTATATTGCCACAATTCATTTCCTGCTATAATTATCATTTCAACTTGATCAGCAAAATGCTGCCGGCCAGTTCAACTAGCGGCACAATGAGACGGAGGGGCATCATCACCAGATCAGTGTGACGGGTGGATTTTCTAAAATCATACTGGAAATGAGTGTATTTCCAGTATGAATTTATCCCAGTATACCCCAGTTTACAGTTGCCTCCATCACATTAAAAAGTAAGATTTTATATAAATCAGGCATTTCCTGGAATGTTATTTCTACTGTCATAAGGTCTGATTCTTTATTTTGTTAAATTATAAAGTTCAGTAGATTCAAAATCTGTGAATTAATTTTTTTATTGGAAACTTTTGTCTAATTATAAGATATAATTCCCTTATATTCAGTTGATCCAGCATTTCCATTTTAAAGCATCATTTCAGCTTCCAAGTGTCAATGTTTACCCATAAAAACATTTATCACTAAAGAAAACAAAACTCATGTAAAAGCATCTCATTCCATTGTTTGAAATAATACAATAGGAAAATTGAATTAACTTTTAAGATCCAGTTATTCTCAAATATCTTGAAAACCGATTGTAAAACCACAAAGAGAAAAACAAAACAGGCAAAGAATATTTTAGGAGTTCCGATTCAGCAAATGAAACTTGATGAACTTACAGTAATTACTCTAATATCAACCTTCAGTTATATTCCAGTGACTTACATAATCTAGAACAACACTTCAGTTGTTTTGTTGTTGTTGTTTTAAATAGCAAGCAGCTAATTACAGCTCACACAGAAAACAGAAAAAGAAGTGTTGTTGTTTTCCTGCCACATATATGTGCAGCCTTTCCAAACGTGGCTGTGATTTTCCATTTCCAGGCAGGATTGAAAGGAGAATCAGAAATGCATTGCTGAGCTTCTACAAACACTGTGGGGAACATGGAAAACAAGTGGTATTTCACATTCACAAAAAAGAAAAAAAAACAGACAGAGAGGTGTTGTATTGTATTCGCTGCTATTTCCTTTCTTGTGCCAGTTGACAGTGATGTTTGTTTCCTACTCTATGTCACAAAAAACCTGAAGTTTACCATTGATTCCACTAAGGCTTCACAAAAGCTGTTATCTTGACTAGAATATCTCACAAAAAGAAGTTGCTCCATCATCCTTGTCCTATATTTGCTTTTCTTGAGTCAATTCTAACTCATCTTAAATTTCCATTTTCTTCTGCAATCTGCGATGCCCTAACACAACATTACCAGGACCGGCGCAACAGGAAAAGATGCAGCATGTCCTGGGGTTGTGAGGAGACGAAAACCTTCCTTCAATATACTTATCTTGACCTCCAGCTAAACCATCTCTCTGCTTAAGTGAGACGGTTGCTGACTCGTGACTTCCTGAGACATGCTTATACTCATAGAGTTGCTATTTGAGTTCCCCATTACATGCCATAGATTGCTTTCCAGTGGGGTGGTAAGAATGAAATCATTCCACTCTGCGTCATGGCAAGGCACCGCATTTACGCTCGTTGGGCATCCAAGGAGCCATCCCGGAATCAGGAGCAGGACAGTCAGTGAATATTCCACAATTTACATTGTGCAATGAACGGAAAAAAACAGTCCTAAAACTGATAGGACAGAACTGATGTCATGATTAGCATGCTGGTTAAGCAATGTTCAGGAGCATGGTGCAAATCTCCTAATCACCACATATTTAAGAGGCAATGCAACATTATGACCTTATAGATTTAGGAAAATTATGTTTTAATTTCCACTTTAAGTGTTTCGTGTTTCAGAAAAATGAACTCTAGGATTTCAGCAAAAACATTAGTCATGGCAAAAGTGACCAGAGCAGCTAGCTAACTTTGTTTTGCTGAGCAGCACATCTTTAATGTACCACTCATCCAAAAAGCCAGTCAGGTAAGCCTGACCCACCCAGGGTTTTGATATCATAATATATGACAGAAACTAATTGCCTCTCCACTAACCAAAGGACTGAAAAATATACCACTTTACTGCAAGACAGCAAAAATGAACGTATAGCAGATCAAGTTTGCTTTTTTTAATGGCATACAAAGATCAGGACTTTAAATAAAATAATTTTGCAATTGCTGTGCTCCCATTAAATAAAAAATGCAATTAAAATCATACGTGAATAAGTTTGTCCCTGTTGTCATCTGGCTGTGATGGGAAAAAAGTTTTTGAATTGCAATTTTCCAAATAAAACCTCTTCCAATATGGCCAAAACCTCTTGGTAGCGCCAAAATGTTTTCCAAAATCTGTATGTTTCCATTAAGCAAAGCTATATTTTGAAATGTCAAGTTGTGTAGCTATATGGTCAATGGAAATGCAGCTGCAGATTCTGCAAAGAAAGCAAATGTCCTGACTTACACATATAGATTTATAGTAGAGATAATATTTATGATAAATACAAACTGTAGATACAATATCTATATCCATAAAGATATAGATATCTTTAGATACTACTAAGTGGTCTTAGCAGTATGTCTGGGAGTTGCTTTAAACTTCTTTCCAACTAAAAAACGTGAATGTGTGTAAAGTGTGGCCTTGCTGCATAAACAATATGCATGCTCAAATGATTGCCTCTGGCTGATCATTAGTCTGCAGTGTTCCACTCCACTTTTTAGTATTGACTCAGCTCACCTGAGACATCAGGCAACATACAGTAGTAAAATAAATTTGATTTCCATCTTTGCTTAAGAAAGGGTTTTTTGTAGAAGTTTTAAAGCTTTAAGTATATCTTCCAACAGATGCAGCTTCGAATGAAAAGTCAGAGAGACAGCACAATAGAGTACGCATATCCCTCGTGAAAACACCATTCATTACTTCTGAAAGAGCAGGGAAAGTGTACCTTGATAATGGATGAACACAGCTTCTGCACGCTCTCATCTGCAATCCTAATCTCAGAGGACGAAAGATGCCTCCTGCCTCTTTGTTGCACAGGATGTGTATAATTTTTGCTGAGCTTTCTCACTAATGAATGCACAACAGCCGGCATAAACACAGACACAGAGGTTTACCGTCTGCTGCAAGAGGGGCTGAGGAGACCAAAGGAAGAACTGAGAAAGAAGTACTGCCAGACATTTTAGTCATACAAATGCCTCACTTCGTTATGCATCAGGGTAAACGTA